AATGTATGTTTTGCATCACATTTTAAACGAACGATTATAATATGTTTTGTTGAAGGGAGAGTAGTTGCACGAAGTATTTTCGGGAAACAAAATCAGGGTAGATGTGTCGGATGGGAGGGAGGGGAATAATCAGTGTAGCTTAGCAACGTGCTTGGTATTGATTGTGAAATTGCCAAGTGACGAGGACAAGGCGGTTTACGCCCTCGGTAACTGTTTTTGTGTTCTAATGTGAGCAACATTACAGATCGTGTAGATACATTCTATTCGTATAATTTTTTCTTCATCATAAACTGAAATTATTATTTTATCTTTAAATATTTTCTGTAGATCAGAAAAATATTTCCGTATTATGATGGTATTGAGAAATTTAGTCATAATAATTATTATATACGATCACTACACAAAGACTGCTATTGTAAAATATTTCAAATAAATATAACAAGGCTTTAATTTGAATAGAAACAATTCTTGTTACAATCAATACTAAGAAATTTTATTTTCGAATTGAAGATTCTGCTATTTTATTCTAATTTAATTTAAAAACCGGAACACTGAAGAACTACACAGAGTGAATTCTAGCATATAACAATAACTAACTTTGAATTTTCTTCTCAGAAACTTTTAAATATGATTTAAAAATTATAATAATTGTATAGGTACATCAGTAATGTAAACTAAATTAAACATACTGATAAATGACAATATTGAATTGTTTATATTTTATTTACAATAATACATAATATATAATTCATAAATTTCAGGTTCATCTGTTGTTGTTTAGTAGGTTTGTTTTATAGAATGCATATATTTTTAAAAGGATATTTAAGTCATCTACAATGACGACCATAATTTATAAGAAATAAGAAATAAACAATAAATAATAAATAAATTATTATAAAAATTGTGAAGACTAAAAAAACAAAATTGTTTATAAGTACCTATTAAAGTATACCATAAGTTAAAATTTTTCTTCGATAATCACATATTCACGCTCTAACTTTCATAACATAGAACAGTAAGTTCTGTAGTGAATTAATAATAATAATGTTTTAATGTATCATTGAAACCTAATTGTTTTGCATTACTAATATGAATAATAACATAAACATGTTTTATAGACTTATTTTGTTTCTTAGGTACATTATAAATTTAGTACACTAAAAAAAATATTATTGTGTATGCAGCGACTTTCATGAGAAATTAAGGAACTGTTCATTTTAACTTTGATCTTATTATAAAGTTTTGCTAATGAATTTTCTAGAAAATCTAGACTATTATTAAATATATTTTTTTCATTATTTATATATTTATTACATATATTTTTAATTTTTTATATTAATAACTTAATTAAATATTTAGTGTATTATAGTAAGATTAAAAAAAAAAAGTGGAAAATATTTTTATTTATACTTTCTAAAATAATATTTCTAATTATATAATTATACAAGTAGTCTAATATTTTCTTTCATTGAACTTAAATTGATTATAAATTACAATAATTACAATAATTAGTATATTTTATACTTATATTTATAATAAATTTGTAATAAAATTTAATAATCATTAAAAATATAATAATATACATATACTACTTATAATTTAATAATATTGATACTTATTTAATTAAATTAAAATTAACATTTCATTCATTTTTTTTTTTTTTAATAAGTACATGTACTATATGAATATATACAACAAATTATAAAAAACCTTTAAAAATTTAAAAAAATCTAACTCTTTTATTTTTTAAGTTATGTGCAATCAAATTTTTTTTTAACAATTTTCTGATGTAATCTGCTAAAGTTTAGCAGAGGATATCTTTTGTAGAACTGTAAAAGTTATTTTATGAAAAATTATTTAAAACTAAAAATAACATAATAGATACTAAAAAATAAATTACCTTATGAATAATAAAAATTGTTCATAATTTTTTATTTAATAGAAGTTATTTTTTAATTTCTGGTTTTATTTGATAACACAAAAAATTAGCTTCAAAATTTAAAAAAAAAATCCATAAAAAGTTTAATAGTTTAGCAGTAATTTCATACAACGATAACTAATAACTACTAACTACTTCATAGAGTACATTATTTACCTATATTATATAATATTAATAAATAAGTACATCAAGCTCAAGCATTTTTTTAAATTTAATATTTTTGTTTTAAAAAAATGGACAAGAAAGTATTTTTTCTTAGAAGTTAATATTATTGAAGCTGATACCATTTATTGAATAAAAAAAAGATAACACCCTGTGAATACAGTGATGGCGCCAGGGATGAGCCAGGTAGGGCTATGGCTCTAACTGAAAATGCCTGGCCCTACCATTGGCCTATCCTTAGACATAATAATATTCTTTTTTTTCATAAGCAGAAAATAATGGTATTTGTATTTTGTTCACTGTACAGTTTGTATGTAATTTAGATTAATATACTTCTATAATATTATATTATTGTATAATTTTTCTAATTACATATTTTAAAATTTTTTGTTTAAATCTTATTTTTTGTGGCCCTGCCTTATTACTGTTGGTCTTACATTTACCCTACCTAGAAAAAAGTCATGGTATCACCATTGTATAAATAGTTTAAAAAATACTAAAATATATGTTATATATGTATTGATTTATGGTTTAATTTCAATTTTTATCCTTCAAAAGTAATAAAAAATCATTAATATTATTTCAACTGTTTATATTATTTATAAAATATTATTACTAAGATAATATTTTCATGTAATATGCACTTTTAAATTAAATTTCATAGCATTATAATTTTTTTTATAGCTACATTACTATACCTAAGCAAGTGCTTGGAAAACTTCTAATTCATCTATAGCAGAACAATGTTTCAGTATAAGAAGAACTCAAAGTGTATCAAAAATGCCAGATTTATAAGTAGGTTTATTCATTAAAAAATATTAATAATGGTAATAGTTATATGTTTATTTAATTATTACTGCCCTGTCTGTCCTTATTAAAAATATTAGGTAGGTATTTTTATATTAATGTTTTACTCAAAATCAATAATTTGAATATTAACATACCTGCTGTAATATATAATATGTTAAAATATACCTACATACAAAATAAGTTTTTTTTTTTTTTTATTATCATTATTTATTAATTTTAGATGACAATAACACATTTCATAATACCGATATAAAAACTATCAATTTTGAAAAATTTATCTTTTCAAAACATAATCGTATTTATGATTTAAATTCTTTTGATAAAGCTGGTAGTTTATTATTTTTTTATAATATTATATTATTTTTTCCTAATCAAAATTTTTATGTGTTAATTAGGTTATTTAGATTGACAAGTCTCTAATCAAAAATTCAATGTAGGTATGTACAAGAATATAATTGATGCTCCTTGTTTTGAATAATTCAATTACTATTAGTTCTAATTTAGTCTCCTCACTACAAAGTTTAATTTTAAAAAATCAATAATAGTTCAAAACATTTTTTTATTTGGAGTAACAGAAAGTAGGCACGCTATAACAAAACTTTTATATCTAAATTTTCAGCTATTATTCAATGTATAATATAGCCTTTATAATTTTAAAATAAAAATGTAAAATTATTGTAATTATTGTAAAGTGTTCACTTTTTTTTTTAGTCAAAAACTCTATTCATAATTGACAATCTATGGCTTTGATATTCATTGCTCCGATTATCATAATTCATCTTATTTGGAATATACTAATCGTACAAAACTAAATTTCGTCCAAATAAAGGTGAAAATATTATCTGTGTTCGTATGTTCGATTTTTTTTTTTTGATAGCATTAACATAGTAATTTTTATTATATGTTGAATATTTAGCATTTTTGAATTTATTATACAACTCACAAAGTCAGCAAATGAATATATAAATTGTGTATAATAGGTACATATATTTAACATATGAATAAGAACATAGACAACATTGTTATCTATAAGTGGTCGAAATTTGATTTTTGTGGGCTAACTAGAGTCAAAATGAGTTATTCTTCGAAGACATGTTTTTGGGCGTCAACAACGGGTGAGTAACGTCGTCTTAAAAGATTATCTAAGGAATAAATAAATAAAAATTAAATCGTTAGTATTTGATTTAACTAAAACAATACATAACTATATAAGTAATAATATTACACATCATATTATCATCTTCGATCATTTTACTGTTTTAAAATGACGCGTGATAACGTGACGTCACAGATTTCGTCGGTTGGCCGCCCGCTTTTTTCAATACACGCATTACCTTGACGCGTCTATATCCATAATTTACACATTTTTTCATTTATTAGTTTACATATTTTATAATTAATAACTAAGATAAGGCAGTCAAAAAATTGAAGAGTAGTGATTATTTATTATTAAACACGACAGACTGGCGACTGGTGATATATTTCTAAAATAATAATACGTAAACCAAAAGATGTATAAATTATGGATAAATTAAACGTTTTCTACCTATAATATGTATTATTTCAATAGGATGTTTGTTCAGATTGTAGTAAAATATTTAAGCTTTTGTAATATGAAAACTGTTTTCAATTTTGAGTTTTTTAAGTTATTATATGAATAAATGAATTAAGACGCGTCAAAGAAATCCGTGTATTGAAGTAGGCGGGCGGCCAACGGATAGAGCCTGTGACGTCACACGTCATTTTAAAATGGCGATAACAAGCGAACGGAGTGAAACAATGAAAAATTGTTTTTATCAAAATTCATCATTATTATTCTTCTATAATATTTCATTGTAAAATTTTTTTTTAATTTACTCTTGGACAGTCCTTTAATAAATACAATATTTAAATAGATCTATTTGAAAATTAATTGCAATATTTGCATTTATGCAGTGTATCCACTTGCTAAGTCTGAAGTGTTTATACAATATAATTGTATGCTCATTGTTTATACGTACTATACAGTAAACTACAAATTACGAATAAAGATAAACGTGTATAATATATATATACGTATATCCTCACTTGTTATTCGTTCTTTGTTTGTCGCGGGTCGTAGCCCCTTGGCTGTCGTGTCCGAAACTGAGTTCACGCGCTTCATTATATCTACTGTAAAAATTTTTAAGGCATATATCGTTTTCTCACAGTTGATTAAACACAACAAATTTCGTTTTGTTGTTGTTTACATATGCGTTTTATTTATTTTCTTCTAATTCTCGGCTAAACCATAAAATAACAAAAATGGCATCAGCACCATACATGGAACAATATCTGGACAGTAAGCTTTTTTTTGGTTTTGAATTTAAACGGAATACTAACAGAATAATATTTTAGGTTTGGAAAATCTTCCTGTTGAATTACAACGAAACTTCAATCTGATGCGAGACCTTGATTCTAGAGCTCAAGAACAGATGCGCAACATTGACAAAATGGCTGATGATTTTATGTCGAATATCAATATATATTCGGCAGATAAAAAGAACGAAACAATGAACAGTATACAACGTCAGTTTAACAAAGCAAAAGAATATGGTGATGACAAAGTTCAATTGTCTATTCAAACTTATGAATTGGTGTGTTGATTTTGAGTTATTCACTTAACCCTAGTACTTTTTTATTATATTGTGCTTTTCAGGTGGATAAACATATAAGGAAATTAGATTCAGATTTAGCACGTTTTGAAGCTGAAATTCAAGACAGAGCTATCAGTTCTACAAGAAATGTAGAGGAAGGTTTACAAAAACGTAGGTTGTCTAAAATACATTTTATTATGATGCCATTGTATTTGATCATTTTTTTATGTGTGTTACTTTCAGGTGGACAAAGGAAGTTTAAAGATAAGAAGAAAAATGCGTCAAGTGAAGAAGAAACTGTCTTAAACAAAACATCTAAAAAGAAATCATCGAGAAAAGGTTTATGGATAGCATAATTTTAGTCTTTTTAATGTTAATATTATTGTTTATTAATTATCAACAGGCATTTTTTGTATGGGAACTACAAACAAGTCAAGTACAGCACCTAGCAAGACACCTATGGTCAGTGTTGTCCCTAATTTGATAAACCCTGCCAATAGTGTAGCTGGTGTTCTAGTAGAGACTGGTCCTGTTACTGGTACATTAGTTGCTGCTGGAGTTGTACACTCGCCTGAAGTATTGGACATGCCTGTTGATCCAAACGAACCAACATACTGTTTGTGTAACCAAGTTTCTTATGGTGAAATGATAGGTTGCGATAATCCAGATGTAAGCAATTTAATTTTAATTTAATAATTATTTATACATTTACAACTTTTACGTGTATAGGTATTTATTTAATATTGTGATCAGTGGTGGCTCGTGTTATAGGGGAACACAGGCAGGTGCCTTTCTTAAAATATTGAAAAATAATTTTGTACTAAATTACAAATTAATATGTTGTTTTCTTAATTCTATCAAAATATTTATTTAGTATGTTTGAGAAATATTATTGTAGTAAAAAAATATGTTCAAATGCGAGCATTTTTACCTACAAGTCTACAATATGTACATAGTATGCAAACACTAGGTGGCAGGCATAATATTCACTGTGCTGATTAATGCAGCAAATTTCACCCACTTTTCGACAGGAATCAATATGGCATTGTCGTGCACAAATTTGTTTGTGCTCGGATTCTATTTTCTAATGATTTACTTGATTTGTCAGTCTTATCTTCTTTGTTGTAATCGTTGGCTATAGTCACAAGCCAGTATTCAATAAGTCATTAGTCATTAACTACAACCACAGATTTGGTATAGAACTATTATAAAATTTATAAATTTGTCTTTTCTATGCGTATTGTGTAATGTTATTTAATATGTTTGTTGCGGGATGACGCCTGCAGTGTATATTGCTGTATATGTGTGTGCAATACTTACCTCAAATTTTCTATTTTCCTAATGGGCATCATAAAAAAAAAAACTTTCAATTTGACCAGCACTGGGGTATGTATATACAAAATTGAGCCGCACCAAATGTGTTAATATAACAATAATGATAATTGTTATAGTGTAAAAGTTAAATTTAAAATTAACAGAATTTGAAAGTAGTCAGTTGTGATAATACTGATAATAGAGCAGGGGAAATGTTTGCGCCATACATTCTATAAATGCCACGAGCTACCACTGATTGTGACCATTAAAAGATTATCAACAATCTATTTTTACTGTTAATATTGTTTCATTGTTTAAGTGTCCTATTGAATGGTTTCATTTTGCATGCGTCAAATTAACTACCAAGCCCAAGGGAAAATGGTTTTGTTCAAAATGTATGACAAATAAGAAGAAAAAATAATACATTTTAAATATGAAATTAATTTTTTTACTTTATATATACATTATATTTACATTAAATATATATATATATATTTATATATGTGTGTGTGTGTGTGTGTGTGTGTGTGTGTATTTGCAAATAATAATTTACGGTGTATAATATAATGTTAATTTTCTTACAGTATAAGAACAATTGATTAAAATTTTGCAATTTGTAATATTATTATTGTCATTGAATTACAAACACGAATTATATAATGTGTATTCAAGAATAAAATTTAGTTTCCTTATTAAATTTGTATTCTTATTTAAAAGCATTTATATTTATTTTATTAAAATCTGAAAATAAAATCCACTTTTCAAATTAGTTAAATTAAAAATTACACCATTTTTTATGTTAGAAAATGTATTTATGGAAATAAAGATACGTTTAGCATAACTTTTAGGTGGTACCACTATTCAATCTTATTTTTATAAAACAATCTATCTATTTAAACTCTGTCATACATTTTTTCAGTTTGAATAATAATAATAATATATTGACCAGCGCAGTCGTATCATTTTAGGGCTATGTTTATGTGTTGCAAAATAATTATTTTGACATCTACAACCGCATCATTCTGTTGTAATGTTGTAAATTGTCATATTTAGTTGTTAAATTTAATAGACTTGTCAAATGCTAAAGGAAACATATACTTTAGTGTTTAAAATATATGCTGTATAGTAGGTGTTGAGTGGATATTTGTAATGGACATTACATTTCGAATTCAATGATATACTATTGTACATAATTAATGATATTAAGCAAATACAGTTAGCCTCTATCACTAAGTATATTTCATATGTTTTTTGATATTGCTTTCAAAGTATTTTATTTTACTATTAGCAATACAGTAGGTCGAATTAATTATTACCGAAAACATTGTACTTAAAAATATTATTGTGTGTATAAAATATAATAATATTTTATGTTCCTATGAATAATGTTTTTAAATTATAATAAATACTGTATTTATAGTTTAAGTACGTATTTTTTCAAATTTTAAATTCAAATATCTATGATGAAAAAAATTATGTTTAAAGTTTTTTTAGATTTTTAGTTTTATTGTGAACTATTATGTCAGTACAATATAAGTATATTTATGTATATCAATGTATATTATTTCTTTTTTTTATAATAATAGTAAAATGTTCCTTTTTGTAAAAAAAAGTTGTTGGGAAAATACATTATTTTATTTTTTAATTTAGTTTATATTTTAATAGATGAATACATTTAAATTTAGTTCTCTTTGGCAGTAAGGAGGCATAGGTAATTTATGGAAAGCTCTATGATCATTGACATTAAATAATTACTTATAAATCAAATGGTATAGTAATGCTGTAAAGATAGGTACTTGATGTTCATTTAGAAATATGTAGTTATATGAAATAAGCTTAACAAACTTAAATACTATACTAGTAATGATATATTTTTATAAGTTAATAACAGAAAGACGTAGGTATACTATATTTTAATAACTAATATATATATATTTGTTTTTGATAATACAATGATTAAACGTGTAATTAAAATTTTATAATAATTTTTATTACACCTACTGAAACTAGATATCATTTAGATTTTTATGCTAATTATATAAGCTCATTAGACATTTTAAGTGACTTATGTTATACGAAAATATTTTAATCCTAAAGATAAATATAACATTCATGCAGATATATAAGTATATTGTGGTGGTTGTTTTTATTTTACAGTCTTAAGTATAAGTTTTCTTTGCCTTATACTTTTTGAAGTTTGAATTCCAATTTAAACTCAAATGTATGACACACTTGATTATAAAGGAAGAAATAACAGGAAGATCATATAAGTTATTATATGTCTATACATTTTATAGAACTACCGACAAAGTGATTTATCAGATATAGTGTTTACTACAACACTGATACATATCATTAAGGCTGAGTTTTAATGTCCTAACAAATCTCAAAAAATATCCTCAAAAGAAATGTAAAAATTATTTTTAAAAAATCAGAAAATACACTATAAAAATGGATTTAAATTATATTAATTATACTTTAAAAATTGGAAAAAATGTTTTAATGATACTACAAAAGGTACCTAGTGTATTTCTTTTCTTTCTTTCTTTTTTTTTAATAGTATTGTTCGTTGTTATTTGTTTAGTTATTTTGTGCTTCTGTTTTCTTAATCATTCATTCTAAAATAATAATTAAAAAAAAAATTTTTATCGATTATAATTTTTCGTGCTATATAATTTATTTTTCATACCGTCGCAGTTTGCCGAAAGTCTCTTTTTAATTGCAACAATTTTTGTTCATTTTATGAAAAAATTGTGAAAAATGCTGTAAAAACTAAGAAAATGTAAAAAAAAAATTACTTAAAATAATCAGTATCACCCAAAACACATTTTATATTTACGGATCAACGTTTCAAAACACCAGAAAATAAGATGCATTTGAATTAAAATCTTAATTCTACATATTATATACGATAAGTATATCAATAGGTGTGCGCACGGGGCGAGCCCCGGCACGACTGAAATCTTTTTAGGGGCATAAAACATTTTAACCACATACTAACACTAATAATGAATCAATACATTAGTGGTTAGTTTTTATGAAAGCAAATAATTTCATGAAATAATTTAATGAATTTTTCATTGCACTGAAATTATTCAGTGTAATACCAGTTACAAGTTGTTTTTGCGAATGGATATTTTCTAAATTAACAATAATAAAAAATTAATTAAGGAGTACTATACATGAAGATCGACTTAATAATTAATTGTTAATGTTTACTGAACTAAAACTAGCAGCTAGTATTAATATTAACATGGTCATTGACGAATTCATAATAGTATAGCAAATATATGAGAATTAATTTATAATTCTTTAATAAAAAATTATTACATAATTAAGTTTATAAAATAAAATATTATGTATATACATTTTTTTGTTCGTTAAAGCAAGTTTTTTTTTTTTTTTTTTTGTATAGTGTTTTCTTATTTGTATGCATAATTATATTTATATTATTTTAATTTTAACTTCAAAAATATATGTCTAGAAATTTTCACATTAATGTTGTGTGCACATACAACTTGATTATATTTACACAGTTTTTAATTTACAATAAATTAGAATGTATATTAATATATTAAAAAAAAAATTAGATGCACTGTCCAAGTATTGGGACATTAATTGTTTCAGGCTCGACCGGAAATTGAAGTCTGCGCACGACTATTGACATCCTACAGGTAAAATCTATAGATTATAGATCAAGGGTGAATCGAAGGGGGCGTGCGACTCTTCCCTCCTCTCAAATGAAATATAAAAGATATTATAGGAGATTATAAAAGATACTTTATCTGATGACCTTTTTTTTTGGAGTTTTGCTGTTTATGTCCCCCCTTCTCCAAGGAAAATTTCTGGATCCGCCCATGTTATATATCACACATGTACAATCGTACAAAATCGTTATGACGTAAAAAAAAAAATAATTAAAATTAAAAAACTAAACATAATATATAATAAGTTCAAATAAACTAAGGCTTATTCTAAATTCTATTTCTAAGCTTCTTAGTTCTTACAAAATTAACTATAGGTACCTAGATATAATAATTTGTTTTTTAAATAGATACTTATATTTCATATTATTTTAATTAGATTTTTTTTTTTATAAGTATTGTATCACACTATCACCTGTATTTGAGTAAATGCGTTAATCCTATAATCGTCGTATCTCCCCTACGTTCTGAGCTAATGATTTTCCAAAATAAATCGGATGAACGCCGTTATTTTTAACGAGGTATAAATTTACAATGATATAATTTGCTAGTGTGCCTTGTTCTCGTCACTTTTAAAGCAGAATGACCTAAGATTTCATTTACAGTAACATGATTCAATTTAAGTAACTTTCATGACCCAACAATACGGTATTACGATAATGACTCGTCAATGTTTGATTTAAAAAGTAATAATGTCAAACGATTAAAATAAAATGCAAGCACAGTTTTTGGTTAGAAACATTTTTATTGGTTTAAAATTAATGATGAAATAAAAATACTTAATCTGTGTTACAGTCGTCGCGCATCCCCGTTAAACTGTCGCACGCCTATACGCTCTTGCAGAGTTTCAGCGGAGTATCACAAAAGCGAAACGGCCGTGCTTGCGCTTCTAATCGTGTTAAAAAGTAATATTGAAACATAGATTTACAAATTTAAACTACTTTATTTCTAATATATATATATATATATATATATATATATATATATATATATATATTTATTAAATAATGTTTACGTCTGTCTACGATCCACGACGAAAGTAATTCATTATCTTATGAAAAATACTGTTGTTACATTCTTCCATTCGAAATGATATCACCAACAATATGTAAATACAATAAATACCTAAAAACAATTGGGAGTAAAATTATGAAATTATTCTGTTAACATTATTTTAATTAATACTCAATATACTTACTAGCACAGATCAATGTATAAGTAATATCAGTAAAAGGAAAGACTTTGAAACTAAATATTATGTACAGAAAATGTATTCCATGAACCACCAACCAAATATCGATGCTTAGAATATTTTTCTGAAAAATAAAAACGTATAATGAATGTTAATATTGTAATATTGTCATTAATCGTAGGTAAATTTGTTTGGCATATATATTGTATACCTATAGCAGAGGTAACCATAAGATCGATCGCAGACGACTTCAAGATCGATCATACTAGAATTTATTTTTAGTCAGTTTTATCAAATATTTAGCGTTGGGAAAACTCAATAATTAGCAATAAATGAAAAATTAAACGTATGGAAATGTATTGCTATGAGTATATTATAATTAATTTGAGATACGATTTTGAGGAATTTAAAAATTATAGTCGATAATCATGTTTATGTATTTTCCTTTTTCCTAAGGTAACAATATTGAAAATATTTCTATGCAAAAAAGTAGGTAATTGATTTGACACAGATTCAAAAAATATCGAATCTAAGATTATACAAATAAA